TGTTTTATATAAATATTATATAATATTATTATTCTTATTGATATATATGGCAAAATATTCATAGTCTTGAGAATCACAGAAAATATATTTTTTATAATAACTACTTACGCGGAATTTATATCAGAAGCTGAGTTTTGTATAAAGTTTCTGTTTTGATCTGCTCGTTTGTTTAATAGTGCTTTTTTTCATTTGCTTATCTCTTTGCCTTCTTTATAATTGCATTTTTCATTCTGTGTACAAGATACAAACGTGCCAGTGACAGTTCATTTCCGATTTCGACAAGTACTTTTATACGAGCTTATTATATTCTTAGTTCATTGCGATTCGCAAGAGAGATATAATTTCCAGAAAATCGTATGATAATCTTAGGATGAATGATTTTTTCATCGCTGGTTGGTTTCAGTGTGTATGTTATCTACATTATTATAAATAATGCAAAAATATTGTAAAAATCATACAAGATGTGTTTTTTATGTATGACATACTCTTTTGCAGAATTCCATTATAAAATAAAATTATTTCCACACGCGAAATGTCAATAATATTTTGAAAAAATATAATATATTATATGGGTTATTTATTTTAAAAGCAACGTAATTTATCTTAAAAATAAATGTATTTACGTATAAATATGTTTACTATTTGATAGTTTGTGAAAGAAAGATAAAGCTGAATTTACGTTGAGTTTTGGAAAAGATTTCTTTAACAGAGTAGAAGAACTTATTTGTCACTATCGCTGACATACACATTTATTTCGAGTATGGTTGCCTCGTGTTATCCATGTCAGAAAGAGTTATATTTTGACTTTTCTACGATGTTAGTTTTTCACTTTACAATTCCGTTTACACGACTAAAGCGGTACTTGACATGCTAATGTGTAAAGAAAAATAAAAGAAGAAAAATAAAGAAAAATAAATAGTGAAAAGCCGTTAAGCATTAAAAAAATTTAAGGATTTCTTTAGAGATGAGCAGGAAACTGAAATAAACGTATTCTTGAGTGGTGAAATTGCGTGTCAAAGTAAATATTATTTTTTCATTACTTATTTTAGCTACGTTCTCAGATGCTTCAATATTTGCTTGCACAGAAACTGCGGATTTTACATGAGTTTTATTTTAAATCTTTTACGAGACTTATTACGTCAATTTTGATTCATGATAATTTCAAATTGCGATTAAATTTTCAGGTGTCATTGATCTCCTAAATTCAAATCAAATTTTCCTTGTAATTTTAACGCGATCGGTTTAATATTTTTGATACTATTCTTTTCTAAGGAAGAATCGATTTCGAATTTATAGATTCTATTATTGGGACTAAGTTTGTAGATTCCGGGAATATTCTTGTGCACTACTTATGTTATTTCATGCATATTAATTCAAAACTCGCTGGATTATCGGTACTTGTCGTCTATGGCACTTGTTGGCCTCGCTGCTAGTCCGGAATCGATTTCCGGGAGTTCTTGTCGACGAATTCACGTCGACAAGCCACTCGCTGATATCTCTCATCATCGCGAACTGATTCCACGGAGTTAATAGGCAGGATCATTTTGCGCCCGAAGAGGGGAAATTCAATCAACGCTTCTCAAGTCTGACGTTAAATCTGACGAAGGAGCGGCAATAAACATTCTCCAATTTCCCTCCGAAGGTTCATGTTATCCATTAGCATTACGTAATAACGATCACCTTTCATATTGAAAAATTCATACACTTTTACGCTTCATTTTACTATGCATTTGGTTTATTAACCTTTCAAGAAACCTTTTATCAAAATAATTTATGAAAGATCTTGCTTTTTAAGGGTTTTTGAGGTCATTGAATTCAATTCTAACTTCAGAATTCTAAACACAAATTTCAAAAAAATAATCTGATTATCTTAAAATTCAGTTTTAGGAGTTTCTTGATATCTCAGAGTTTGAATGCAGCCTGAAGATATCAAATTTCAAAACCTCTATGAAGGAAGGTTTAGTGTCAAAGAGCTCCAAATGGGAGTTTGAAAGTCAATTTGGAAATCAGTACTAACTCACGTGAAACTGAGTTTCAAATAAAGCGAAACTGGAAACTTGATGTTCGCAAAACTCTCTAAAAACTCTTTAAAACCGAGTGTAATAATTATTTTTTTAATTATCAAATTATTTTTTAAAAATTCTATTCGTTTCTGTCATATTTATTTTATTTTGAATTTTTCT